AGGGCGCGCGGCGGCGGTGCGGGGTCACCCAGCACCTGGCCGACAACCGGCTCAAGACCACCAAGTACACGCTGCTGTCCTTCCTGCCCAAGAACCTGTTCGAGCAGTTCCACCGCCTGGCCAACGTGTACTTCGTCTTCATCGCACTGCTCAACTTTGTGCCCGCGGTGAACGCCTTCCAGCCCGGCCTTGCGCTAGCGCCTGTCCTCTTCATTCTGGCCGTCACGGCCTTCAAGGACCTGTGGGAGGACTACAGCCGCCACCGCTCCGACCACGAGATCAACCACCTGGGATGCCTGGTATTCAGCAGGTGAGCCGGCAGCCCAGCGAAGCTCGGGTTCCCTGCTGGGCTGACTGTGCGCCCCTGGGAACTTGGCGCCGCGCTCCTGAGGGGTACCGACCTGGGTGACCCAGGGCGGGGCCAGGCTCGGCGGGAGGGTGAGTCTCTAGGGGTCAGGCAATTGCCCCAGGATCTCAAAGAGCAGGGACCCCTGCTGGGGCACACCAGGGTTACCCTGGAGGTCACTCAGACTCCAGGTCCTGAACCAAGATGACCCCAGGGCTGGACCCCGCACTTGCTGGACATCCTCGCCCCCAGACTTTGCCCCCTTAGAAGTAAAGGAGGGAAACCAATTCCAGGGTGTCCTGACCTAAAGTCCCTGCTTTCGTCTTGGGCCAGGCTCCCTGGGTCAGGGTGTTCAATAACTTTTAACAACCAAAATGAGGGTGCAAAGCTGAGCTTGTCTTGGGACAACTGCGTGCAACTGTTAACTAAGTCTGACCCCACACACAGACTAGATAAATAAAGGTCAGGGAGTAGCAGAATAGCCATCTATGGAAGTGAGTTGTGAGCAGGGTACTGAGCTGAGCACTAACTATCCCATAATTGACTACTTTCCATACAATTAACCCCAGCTTCCAGGTGGAAAAACGGAGACTTTGAAAGGTCCAGGAGCCCTGCCCAATGTCGGTGCCAGTGACTGTGACACTCCTGTGGGCGCCTTCTGCTCCCTTCTCTCCCTACACCTCCCAGAGGACCCTGTTCAGTGTGCCAGCTGTCCCTTTTCCACTGTCCATCCCGAGAAAGCCACTTGGCTACATACAGATCCAGCCCTGAGCTGTGTCTGGGATGGAGCCCTCCTCAGGTCCCACCTCTCCAGCCAAAGCTCAGCCCATCTTTTCCTCCTGTTCACCTTATTTGAGTCCTGGTGAAGGGTCTGATGTTAGCTTTCAAGTCAGAGGACCTTAGCCTGATCAGGTTCTGTCATGGTTGAGGGACTTAACCAAACCCCATGTTCAGTGGCAGACTGTTCCCTAAAAGTGGGTCATGGTTGTTCCAGCCTCTTAGCTGAGATGAGGACCATGAATACCCCTTCTGGTTTTTGAATATTCTAGAGCCACCTAGCAACAATAGTTGCTCTTCAACCTTATTTTACAGATGGTGAAATAGAGGATCAGAGAGTCTAAGTAACTTGCCTAAGGTCACACAGCTGATAAGTAGTGATCTTAGAATTTGACACCACAGCTTTTCCAATATTCCCATATTTGTGCTTCTTGGATTTATGTAAGACTCACTTAAGGACCTTGTAAAAAATAACAGTCATCAGACTCCAGTTCTGTTTCTGACCAAGCTCATGTAGAATTGGACCCAGGACTCTGGGTATTTAATCAGCACAGAGGTGATGGTTATATAATTACCCCCACTTTGAATAATGCTTCCCTACATGTTCTTGGGGTGGCCAGCAAGGTAATTTACACAGAAGGGGCCTCAGTGTTTCCTGGGTCCTTTTTACTAGAAGCTTAAAGCCAAGAATGGAGGGACGCGCCCCTTCTGCAGATGTTCCCAGTGTGAGGATTCCACACTGTCGTCTGCCTGCCATCTGCCTCCACCAGTGGGACTCTTGCAGGTTTAAGTCTTTGAACACATACCACTTCCTGTTACTACTGAGCTGGTAGCTCCTGCAGCCTCCTTTTTATACATACTTGGACTTCAGGAAATATAGTTTATTTTCAGTTGACAAAATGCTTTCGACCCATTGTGGCCCTTATAACAGCTGCACCCCCATGTGCAGGTGAGGAGACTAAAAGGGAAACCCAAAGCAGTTCTCTTAACTCAAGGACCTTGAAAGGCTTCATGGAACTTTCATCTAGTCCTTGGACCTCACCTGTCCAGATTCCACATCTGCCCTGACCTGACCTGGATTCTTGAACAGTCAGTCCTGTCCTCCATGGCTGGTTCTCAGAGATAATGGTGCTTTCAGGAGAAACCCCCCAAGACCTCCCAGGTCCCAAGTTAAATTCTTTGCATGCTTTCCCATGGAGGGAATGGGCTTTCTAGTGGAAAGGGTGGTAGGTATAACCACATGTGTGTGTGTTTGGGGGGCGGGGGGGTGTTGGTGTTGTGTGTAGAGAGGAGCCCTATTGGTCCAGGGCCTTGCTTCTCCCCCTCCCCACCTCCATGACCCACATATGAGTGGCTTGTGCCTCCAGGGCTTCCAGGCTCTGCGCCCCTATTGTGTGCAAGGAAAGGAGCCAGCCAGCCTAAGGAGCAGATGCTGGACGGGGTTCAGGCCCTGCCTGGGAGGGGCGACACAAGTCACCTTGCACCCCTGCACTTCCTCATTGCTGGCTTGGAAGTGGGGTGTGAGACCCCCAGGTGCCTATGCAACCCCAGCAGACCTGCATTTCTGTCCCGTGGCCTCCTCTTCTGCTCCCAATCCTACCTAGTGATGGTCTCCTGTTCCCCTCGTTACCTCCATGTTTATCTCAACTCAGATGTGGTCCTATTGGTACCTTTCAGTGTCTGTCTCTGGCCTGTCTGCATAAATTAAGCTGATGTAACTTTCCCTGAATCTTTTGGGCTCTGGCCTTGGATTTGAGTGAGCGGTCTGGTGTCTGCCCATCCTGTTGTGGGAAGCCAGGTGGTCAAGGTGCTCCACTGCTCAGACACTCCAATTTTCATCCCTTGCCTTCCCTTCCCTTTGGTTCTCCTTTACTTCCCCAGCCCAGGGCAGTTTCTGCCCAACCTGCTTGCCCTGGCCTGCAGGGTGTGCTTTTTCAGAAGAGCTTAGGGCCAACAGTGTTCTTTTGTTTCCTGGTCCTTTATCTTGCCTCCTCTCTCTAGCCCTCCCTTTCCTGGGGAATAACATCTCCTCCCTTGCCCACAGCCGAAACACCTGCCCTCTGAAAAGCACTGCATCTTTTTCTGGCATGGTGAAAAGATTGTGGAAGCAGAGGCACCTGGAGGGATCCAGGGCAGGGCAGAAACTTACCCAATAATGAGTCCTGAGGAGGCAGGGCTAGTCCCAGGTAGATGGAGTGTGTGTGTGGGGGTGGGGGGGGCAGTAGATGGGGTGGCCCCAGGTAGAAGGGGCAGGGGACAACTGAGGTGTTTGGACATTGCTGTTCATGTGTCTTGAGATTTTGATAAAATGAAATCAGAAATTAGTAACAGAGAAATTTGGAAAATTCACCATACTCAGAGATGAATAAAATTTAATTTTTTTTTCTTTTTTTAAAGTGAGGCCTATTGCTGGGGGTGGGGGAGGGAGGCTGAAGTTACAGAACTAACTAGAAGCCTGGAGTGGGAGCTGGCTTACATCACTTTTCTGACACCTGTGTGTTGAATGTGACTGGGCTCAAGGGACCTTTCTTCTTTAAATTTGTTGATACAAGCCACATCTTGTATAGGCACAATCCTATCTTATCATCCTAATGGTCGCATCCCCACAGAGGGGGAAACTAAGTTTCCAGGCGCAAGGCCTGGCTAGGATCCCCCTATTGGGGAGGAATGGTAGTGCCACATGAGGCATCACCTGCTCGCATTCCAGGCTTCTGGTTATTTCTGTACCTTCAACACTAACCCCCCTCCATGCCCCCAGCAGTAGGCCTCACTTTAAAAAAAAAGAACAGAAAAAACTTAAAATTTTTTATTCATCTCTGAGTATTGCGAATTTTCCAAATATTTCCATTCCTAATTTCTGATTTCATCCTCTTCACATGCAGACATGTGCAGCGATGTGAACCTGGGAGCAGCCGGGTTCCAACAGCTAGCAGCCTGCCGTCCCGGGCTCATTCCGCTCGCCCCAGTCCACCCACTCTTCCGCTAATTTTGAAGCACATCCCAGACATCATGCATGCCATTCCTCCTGTGAATGTTTCAGTATTTTTCTTTGGAAAAGCAATGACTCCATTCAAAACTAAACTAGAATACCATCATCACACCTAAAACTTCACATCCTTTTTACATTACTGCATAAGGTTTACTATTTTACTATTACTATTGCTAATCTTTTACTGTCCTCAATATATAAAGCATAGCATATACATGACGTTCACTAATGTCTGCAGTTTTTTGTTTTTTTTTTAGATTTATTCATTTGTGCATACAGAACTGGGGTACAGGCCAGAGGTGCAGGGGCGGTGAGAGGATCCACCAGAGACAGAGTGGGGAGCAGAACAGGCAGATCTATGAAGTACACTGCTGAGGGGAGCGGGGGGGGGGGGCCAGGAGAGGTCTGCCACGCCATGTGGTCACCTCCGGGGCAGGCGGGGATCGAACTCATGCGGAAGTGGCTTAGGCTTCTTAGTGCAGTGTTTTAACCCACTGAGCCACCAGGGAGGGCCCACTGTCTGCAGTTTTAACACATGTGCCACTCCACAGCTAAGAAGGGACATCAGACTGAACTAATAGAATAAGTTGGGGAGTGCCCTGCTACTCTCCTGTTTGGACGACTTTGTGAAAACTTCACTAAATGATTGGAAGGATTCAGTATTGAGGATAACTTCTTGCTGGTCCTGGGTTTTTCTTTATGGGGAGTTTTAAAATTACTAGGTCAATTTCTTTACTTATTACAGTTTAATGCAACTTTTCTATTTCATGTTGACTCTGTTTGGTAGTTTTGTATCTTTTTTTAGGAAATTGTCCATTCATCTGTATTATCTCATTTATTAGCATGGAATTCCTAATATTCCCCTACAGTCCTTTTAATTTCTGTAAGGTTGGTAGTGTACTTTTTTTTTTATTAATGCTCTCAATAATTTGAACCTTGTTTCCTCTAGTTTGGTCATTTTAGCTAGAGGTTTCCCAGTTGTGTTGATTTGATCCAAAGAATGTTTTTTTTTTTTTTTTGTATTCTTGATTATTCTCTACTGTTTCTCTATTTTTTAATTTATTTATTTCTGTTCTTTATTATTTCCTTCCTCTGTCCCATCAGAATGTAGTTTGTTCTTTATATAGTTACTCAAAGTGGACACTGGTTGATTTGAAATTTTTTGTTTGTTAATGTAAGTATTCACAGCTATGAATTT